CACCGCCTATTATGGCATGATTGGCACTCTGTGTTCCAGGCAGAACAAGGACTTCACCTCATCTCTACTCCCATTTCTTCAGGCTCTCACCACCTAACCTTCCTCTTCCAAAGAGCCTGAGAAAATAGACGGGATTTGCAGCACGGATGGAGTGAGCCCAGCTGTGCCCAGCGGCTCTGTGCGTGCGGGTGGCCGGTAGGGCTGGCGGTGCCAAGAGGAGCACAGCCAAGTGACAGAGCGGAGCCTGAGAAAACCAGGAACCCCATGGGGGAAAACGCCAAAGGAAGGAGAGACAAAGTGGGCAAAAAGGGGAAAATAGAGAGGGAGGGTGCACAGGGAAAGGATGCCTGGATACCCAAGGGTGGGATGCGGGAAGGACTCGGACCCCACCAAGTTGCAGAAAGGGACATGAGCTGCGGGACGGCGTCCCTGGATGCTCTCACCCTGCCTGCTGGTTCTGGTTAGTATAGAAATGTCTGCAGGCCTCAGCTTGGGCTGGTTGTTTTGTGAAACGAGTATTTTAGGTTTGCTATTTTCCAAAGTCCTCATTTCTCAGAGCATGAAACACTCTGTTCTGCAGGGGAGCGGAGGATTTGCAAGACCGAGCAGCAGCCAACTCAGTTCTCCATCGTATCTTTGCAGACGCTAGAGGGTAAAAAAAGAAACACTCGTCTCCAGTCTGGTCGGTGCAGTATTTCCAAACCACTTGGTTTTATTTCTCCTACCAGTGTGACAAACCTGCATGATATCCTGGTAGGACAGGATAAATGCGAAAGTAAAGGAAATTTATCTTGTGACACTAGGAAGCCTCATGATCCTGTTCCCTGCCATGTTGCAAGCAGACACAAAATACTATCACTCTAGGTGCCTGCCAAGGTGCATGAAAACTTGGAGGGGACAGACAGGAACATGCTTGGAGGACATTTCCTTTCCACCAGCTGCTCTACTCCGCTCAACCTGCTTATAGGCTGCCTGGGTGCAAGAAGAGTGAACTTAGAAAACCCCTCATTGCAGGCTGGCCTTACCAGGGGCTACAAAATCTGAATTCAGAAGGACGCTCGGAAAATGCTATAGATGGGAGGACCGAGTGTGAACCTGGGCAGGAGGAAGGCAACAAGGGCACCCCCTGCACTGCTCACCATCGCCGCAGCAGCCCCTGCCTTCTTCCTACCTGCTTATACCTCAGCCATGGCCCGTTCTGCTAAGACGGGGATTATAAAAGACCTGTCGTTGGAACTGTTGGCGCTGACCTGGATCATCTGCCCGGACGGAGCGGCTGGGCTGCCCGACCAGGCAGGGGGAGATCCTGCAGCTGAGGGGGGTGACGAGCAGCTGGAGAGGGCTGAAAGAAATAAACTCTTCACCCAGCTCAGCTGCAGCCAGGACAGGATGTGTGACGGCAACCGAAGACATAGGAGATAATTATTCTACTCTGCTTGGCACCCGTGAGGCCTCAGCTGGAGTAACGTCCAGTTTTGGGCACTGCACTGTAAGAAAAATGTAGACAAACTGGAGGGAGTCCAGGAGAGAGACATGAGAAATATTGGAGGCAGAGAATGAACAACCTAGGAGGAAATGTTGAAAGGATTGTTTGTTTAGTCTGGGCACAGCCGAGTCTAGCGGAGAGACATGATAAAAATCTTGCAATACGTTAAAGTTTATTGTAAGGATAGTGATAAATCTTTCCCCATGGGCCCTGGGGGATCAGGAAGGAAGGAACTAGCTTCATATGCAGCAGGGAAAGTTTAGGTTTGACATGAGGAAAAACTTTCTAGATAAGAGGGTAATGAAGCACAGCTAGCTGGGGAATGCATGGGTCTTGTTAAAATTCATAATAAATGCACTTTGGTTTAATAATGAATATTGGAAGAATAAAGATGTTTTTTATTTAAAGACCCATTCTGGGCTAATGCCTGGAACAGGATTTCTAAACTTCTATGTGCAGTTGTGTTGATGCACTCGCAAGAAATAGCCCTGGAACTGTCAGCTTTGGAGCAGATACCCTTTTTCCATGATCTGTGCATATAAAACCTCAAATCATGGGACCAGTCACTTATGGTGGGATCGCTACATACTGCAACCATCGGAATAGGCAATCATATAATATGCAGAATGTGTATAAAATTCTGTAAGTTCAGGCTCAATGTTTCTCTTAGGATTTCATTTTTGGCCACGCTGTGTTTTTTTCTTTGCAGGTTTGTATCCCATATCTTTAATCCGTTCTCTGTAGATTTGCCGTATGTGCATGGCTAGAGAGATATTCACCGAGAGCTGTTAATCCTTTGAGTGTTTCTACATCATACAGCATATGTCCAGCGAAAGCAGTTCTGTGGGTTTAAGGACCTTCCCCGATCCTCCTGTGACCAGAACCACAAATCTGTGCCATGTTTTTCTCATCCCAGTGACTTCCCAGGATGCGGATTGGGTTGTCTTTCACAACAGAGAATCCAAGAACTTCATATTCTCATAAATTCAGTCTGACATGTTTAAGTGTAAAAGAGAAACAGAAGGTTGCTTTAAAGGCAAGATGTGGAGGTAGGAAGTTGGCACACACAGATCCCATCCTTGGTCTTCAGACTTGTTACTTGTAGAGGTCAAAATCTATGAAATTTTCCCTGAATCTTATGACAGAATATGGATTTTTCTCATGAAATAAAGTCTACTAAGGAATGCATTTGTTGCAGATTGCACTTGTTAGTATTAACACATTTGAATTTTTTAAGTGTGGCCTTATGTATGAGTATTTTGGGTTTCTAGTGCTTGGTTTGAATCCAGTTGCAAAATCTGCAAACTTGCCCGTATGTGTGCTTAACCTTCACGCCATCTTGAGATAATTTGTTATCTACACACGAGCACTAAGCAAGAAACCTGGAATCACGGCTCATGTGAAACAGCTCGAGTATTCTGAGCACTGGTAGCATTAACCCTGACTAATTTTTAAAGAGCACACTCGCTGGGGTGCCGGAGCAGCACAAATCACCAAAACAAAGTAGCCAGTCAAGCTAGGTTATATCTGCTGGGCCTGCCACAAAAGCAGAAACCACCCACAGTGTATTGGTTAACATTAATTAATTAATAATTTCTTTACATTTCTCTGCAAAAGATAGGTGTCTACAGCGTCTGCCACACAGAACCAAGACGTGGTTGCTCTTGTCTATTGAAACACAGCTGTGGAAGGAGCCCATATGTCACGCGGCAAGGTAGCAGGAGAACTTCTGGAGCGGGTTTGAGCTTGTAGCTTGGGGATCAGGGTTACCCTGTGCTCTCAGCACCTCTCGTTAGAGCTGCCGCAGTGTGAAAGGTTCATTAGGAAGGGAGGAGAACATGGGAAAGGCGGAAAGGGTGGAAAGGGGCAACTCATCACCTGCCCTAACTTAGATATTGAACAATTGGACTTCAAAGGCTCTGTTAGTCACCTCCGGCTCCATTTACGGTTGGTGGAAAAGAAGAGGAGCTCCAGAGAGACAGTCTCCTCCTTTCAGGACAAGAAATGCCTGTTTCTCTGCTGCCTGTGTGAGACACCTAGATATCCATCTACTGGAGATGCGAAGGTGGCTGAGGTGACCCCGCATGGTCTGCTGGTTACGGCACTTAGGTGGGAGGAGGGCGAGTTGTGGCCTCTGCTCCAGGGACACCTTAAGGACTTTGTATAAACCAGGGGTCACGCAGCCATGTTGCTCCAAGCACTAGGGAAATCACAGCCTCCCCTCCTCCTCCTAGGCAGCCTTATCAGCGTGGGGAAGGTGTCGCCGAGGTGTGGGGTGGAACACCCTCGCACGGGCGCAGAAGTTCAGCCCGCGGTGTGCGCTGCCGGGGGGCAGCGGCCTGAAGGAGGCGGCTGCCGCGTGCGCGGTCCCGGCGTCGCCTGCGAGGCAGTGGTGACTCCGGCACCGCTTGTAAAGGGGCAAATTCTCGGCGTGCGCTTCGGCCAGGCTCCAGACGGCCGGTCGCGTTAGGGGGGCTGCACTAGGAGCCGGGTCGGGGGCCCAGCTGGCTTCAGAAGGGAGCTGGGTGCCAAGCGCCGCAGTCCAGGCAGGCCGAGGCGCTTCCCCACCGCGGAGGCAGCGACGTTCGAGGCTGCTTCAAAGGCCTCCTCAGTCCTCCCCACCAGACAGCGAGGCAGAGCAAAGCTGACGTGTCCCCCAGTGGGACAGCAACCCACGTCCTCGCTGCCGTTCTCCTGGGTCTCTGCCAGGCTCCCTGCAGGGCTGAGGCGCCGGCCCAAGGGACGGCAGCAGCGACAGGGCCCCGGAGCCGCCATGGGCGCTGAGGCCTGCACTGAGGCCACACGGGGAGCAACACAACCCGTCACACGGAGAGGAGAGAAGGATTTAGCTTGGAGGCCCTCCGACGTGTCCTACACACCAGCACCAGGAGCTGACGCTTCACCACGCTGCCTTTCACGGCTTCTCGCTGGCAGGCGCCATTGAACGGCGGGTGTCTTGTCAGAGGGTCTCTGGTCTCCTGTCTGCCTCAGAGCTCAGAGGAGCTCCAGGAGCTCCTCAGCTGCCATAAGGACACAAGCTCGTCAGCTGTGCGCGTGCATGTCCCACAGCGCCCGCACGTGCGTGTCCCACAGCGCCCGCGAGGTCGCTCTTCGCTCCCGCTGCACGGAGCATCCCGCTCCCTGCTGCACCCATCAGGCTGCACTGGGGCCTCATCTGTGTTTAATTCAGCCTAAAGAACGGGAATCCTTTTCCTTTGGAAAGCAAAATCCTTTGGCACTGTAATGAGACCAAACCCATTTTTGCTACTTTTACGGCCCTCTGATAGTTTTTCCACATTTCACCTGGGACCAGCTCCCAATGCTTTCCACAAATTTGACCAACTCCCTCAAGTGTCTGTCAGGATCAGGATTCATTTTCCCACTGGTATTATGCTTACTCCGAACAAACTCCCCCACCTTGCTATTTAACTTATTTAATTCATTTTTTCAGCACGGACATGGGCAAGCGAGTGTGGATCCCGTGAATTGCCTGCGTCGGGCTCGGAGGCGCCGCTGAATCCAAACGTCGAGCGGAGAGCAGCTGGTTAAGGTGGGATTTGAAAAGCAGTCATAGGATAAACAGGTTGCAACGTTAAGCACCCTCTGAGGAGGAAGCGGTGTGCAGCATATGTTCTTACTTTGGAAGGTATTTAAAAAAAAACCCACTTTAATAGACCCTGTACTGGCTTGTGCTCATGGAGCTGTTAATTAATTAAATAACTATATGTGAATGGCATCCATTGGGAAAGAGGCTCACAGCTTCCAGATGCCAGTTATTGGCCCCGTTATGGGCCTAAAACTATTACAGTAAATCATTGGAAGCTCCGAGACGAGCTGGCACAGGATTGCTGCGAGGAAGGATGGAGCTGTTCTCGCTTGTGCCGTTTTGTGCCAGTTTTTATCTAGTGAGATTAATTACTGCTTGCAGACGTGCAAGTCCGAGCTGTGAGATACTAAAGAATATTCCATCAATGGAATGGAGACATGCTGAAAAAGGGTTTTAAAACTTCTGGGTGTTGATGGAGAGGTAGGAGTTGGAAGAGATAAAGAGCAATGTCTGATTTTGATTTTTTTTAAAGGCCCAATATGTAGAGAGGCTGTGGTGAGTTCCCCTTGTGTGCTCTGGAATACTCAGAGGACATCAAAGCTCATCACTACCACCCTGGTGCCAGGTAAGCAAACAGTTTTTCAAATCAAAACCAATTGTTTAAGGCAGCTATTCTAAATACAAAACCAACCAGAAAGGTTGATTTAAAAAAAGTTATTATATAATCTTTTAAAACCTTTTAACCTACATCCTCTGCTGGGAGGAGAACATTTCCTGCCATTCAATGGCAGCCTGGGATCTATGACCTAGAGCAGAAGGTGTTTTTTTTTTTTTTTTTTTCTTTTTTCTTTTTTCTCTTTCATTAATTAACAAGCTACAAATTTTTAATGTCAGATGATGACTATGGATCTTGCTGCCTCTTTAGAAAGGGCTGTAAGTGAGAGAACCACTGAGCCACCTATGTCAGCCCTTACCTGAACAGGCTGTCCCTTGAAGATCTTCTTGACCACTTTAATTCCACAAGTTGAATACAGGAGGGCCAATCCTGGCACTGCTTACACAGATTCCCCAAAAATTAGTTCTTAGACACACCAAACAGGCACTTCCACGTAGGAATCCTTCCTTCCACAGCTGGAATCCTCCCACAGCTGGGTGAGGCTAGCTAAGCACATAGACCCTGAGGTCTTATGGTCCCGACTGCACATAATCCTCTCCTGCATGATTTAGAGGAGCTTTCACGTAAAACCAAGCTCTGCTGTTGCAGACTTGCTGGCCCAGATTAGGCCACTTGCTTGGAGGTAGATGTCCCTGTGCTCCGCTGCGGTGTGTGGGACTGACCCGATTGAAAGGTGAAGATTCACTTATTATTGGGGCATGACAAATTGAGGAACCATCCTGCAGGCTGGTCTCTGAGCAGATCTTTGTCTTCCCATGGCTCTGACAGGGCTGTATAAGGCGATGGGTCTGAACTGGGTCTTGTAGTTGCCAAACGAGCAATAGAGCTATGGAAAGGGTGGAAAAAATGTGTTTATATGTGTCCAGGTACCTAAGATTTGGGAGGGAGCTCTGGGACCTACAGCACCTCTACTGAAACCCAAGGACAGACTTTGTCCATAGGACAACATTCCCCAGTACAGGAACGCTGCCTTTTCTCTTGTTAAACAAAAACAAGTTACTTCTAGGATCTTGGTTCTGATGAGGGGAGTGTCACCACGTGTCCAATGTCAGTTGAGCCAAGAGCAGCTCCGTGCTCGTCTCCCATTCCCTCTCTGCAACCACAAGGGACTCCCCTTGGCTTGAGTGGGAATGGGAGGGAATGCAATCACCAAGCAAAAATGCTCTTACTTTATAGCTTAACATTACGTAGGCAGCAGTTATGCTTTCCTAATGAACAAGGCATCTCTGTAGACTCCTACACTGGCCCATCCTGTGCAGTGGAGGAAACAAAATGGAGACAGTAAAAACGCAGCTACTTTTTAATCATGTTCCAGGTTACTATATTTTTCTGGGTGTTTTGAGTGAAACATCTACACCAAAAAGCTGAGTGTGCTGAACACGATGGCTACGCTTGCCAGGAAAGAGCTCTGAGCGAGCAGGGTACAGAAAGTGCAGGAGACTGGCAAAAGGTTACAGAGCTCTTCACATTCCCATCAGGGATTTTGAGGGAGAACAAGGTGGATGGAATACAAGCTGTTACGGCACGGAAATGGGCACTCACCAATATGGAGTGAACCTGGGGATGCCCCTACAGACCTTCAAATCACAGTGTAAAGTCAACAGCGACTGTCAAGATCTCAATCTTTTCCTCCCCAATCAGGAGCAATATCAGCTCCATGCGTGCACGCTCTTCACTATCCACTGCAGTGGATTCTTCGTGCCCTCTCCTCAGTATTTTGGGAAAGAAACAGGAGAAAGGGAACCAGAGATATTCTAATAGGATGATCATACAGTTCAACTGTGAATTTCACCTTTCCACTGAGAGGAGTAAGGGACTGGTGTTAGAAATGTGGTTCTGCTGCACACGTTTGGATAGACACAGCTGCAGAAAAGCTTTGGGGACAGATGCAAAGTCCAGCGTGACTTCGTGAAGATGGATGCCCACCCTTAACTTTAAACATAGGTTTTCCCATCTAATTCCCTGGAATCGTTTATATAGTGAACAAACACATGCGTGAGCCTTTCTAGAAACAGGGGAATGTAAATCAGAGTATCAAAACAGCTATGCAAATACATACTTTCTGTACAATGAAATGGGGGAATTTAAATGTACCTATGAGCTCGCAGTGCTCCCTCCTTTGCTAAAAAGGAATAGATAAAATCTAGGCCACGCTGTCAAAGGACAGGGTGTTACTGCTTGTATGTGGGGGTGTTTCCAGCTACCCACAGTGCAGACGAGTCATTTGCATCCATTATGTTAATTAAACAATTTGCTGGAGTTTGGCTTGTGGTGGATTGGCAGGAGGGAACTCCAACCCAGGTTCCGTGGTGGGGATCCCTCGCACCGCACTGAGGACCCGGAGCCAGGCCAGTAAGGTGGTACACACAGTCATGGGCCTCTGTTGAGCATTTTCGTGCAAAGTCCAACTTAAGCAATGCAGTTATGGCAAGACAAAGGAAACTGGTAAAAAAGACCAAGATCTACATTACTTAAAGTCTGCAATAGGCAAGATATCCTAGGCTGGTTATAAGTAATGAGTTATCATTCAAAGGGTGGCGTGTCCAAACTAGTAAGGCCTTCAAAATCAGTTATTCGTCTTTAATTTTATTTATATTCACATGGGAAATCTTTCTATCTGTTTTGGCTGTATCTGCCCCTTCACTTTGTTTTAGGTCTGCTTTTCCTGATAGGGTTATGGTCTAGCTTATGTTGCAGCCATTAGCATTTAAATCAGTAGGTTGCTCCCGAGTGCTTGTATTTGTGTTTATGTTTGTGAATGTGAATGCAAACTTCCAGCAAATACCCAAGTCATGACTTGATCTGGTGGATGGAGATGGACGTGGACCCAACCTGCAGCACTGGCCTTCTCCATCCTGTGGCCCTATTTGTGCCATGCTGCACTGTACTCACACCTGCAAGTCCTGGGTTTGCTGAACTACAACAGAGTGTTGAGCTTCGCTGCTGCCCAGCAGGTCTTTCGGCAAGTTGTGTGTTCAAGTATCTTCCAACTTACCTTTCAGGCACTAAAAAATGATACTTGGCATTTGAATAAGGCCACCAGCTATGTCTATACAAAGTGAAGTCCATAGGCAGGGGAACTAAGGGTTTTATCCAATTACAACACTCTAGAATTGCAGGGTTTTGGTTCAATACTGTGCACTGATCTCCCTTTTCTTCTGTACTCAAAATCTTTTGTCACCCTACACAGGATTATCATGATCTGCTTTTGAGCATCAAAACCAACAAACTAATGAGGAGACCTGTGGGGAAAAGTCCTCTGGGAGGCTCCACTGGCTACTTGAGTCTCTGCTTCCATTTATTTTATTTCACAACAGGTTTCTTTTGGCACGAGGAGAGCTCAGCTCTGAACTTAGTTGCACGGCTTCGGACAGGAAAGCTGGAACTGAAGACCACAGGGTAAGATAATTTGCCTAGCATTCCGTTCCCATTAACTTAGTGGAGCTCGAGGCTTTCCCCCAAATGTTGACTGTTCTGCTTTGTAGGACGATGGCTTTCCTGCATGAAATTCTACAGTGCCCTCTGTCCTATCTGTGTGTTGATGTCATTCACCCCAAGAATTCTAGAGTCAGCTGAAAATATGCTCTAGTCTGGGAATGAACTAGCACTTTGCTTTTAGTACATCTGACCCCACAACTACACTAACTGGGTTTTTGAATGAGAAACTGGAAACCTACCTGGTTCCCAAGAGTAATGGTTTTGGCTTCAGATAAGTGACACTGATGTTCTTCGAGTGACAACAGTGACACTGAGATTCTGCAAGCAGAGGTTTGGATATCAGTCATGTACCAGTCATATAAATATGGGGAACTCTGGACATTTTCAAACTTTAGTTTTTGTAATATTCTCTCCTAAAACAAAGCTTTTTCATTTGTTGTACCTTTATTTTACTATAAGTTAGACCTTGCTTTTGGAGGAGACATCAAAAGGGAGAATCAGCCTTGGTGTTCCCCGTCTGCACGTTTCCCTCTTCAGGCTGTAATTCAGTGCTGCTGGATATGTAAAAGTGAAGGCTCAGAGCGAGGAGTTCAAAGTTTTTCCTTGGCTTTCAGACATTGCAGAATCCTGGTCTCTGTATTCCAGTGTGTTTATTTAAATATTGGTCTGTCTACATAGGGCTCCTCCTGCGGTGTCTCTTAATACTCCTTCCTCATCCTGCCACTGCCAGTGTTATCTCTGATCAATCCAAGAGCAGAACAACCCCACTAGTACAGCACTAACTGGTAACTCAACCATCCAATTTGGAACATGGATTCAGTCCAGAAAACAGCTCCAGAGACTCTGTATCTTTCTTTCCTTAGTCTCTCAACTATCATGTGGGTAGGAAACCAAACACAATATATGATTTACCAGAATAGGAAGCATTGAGAAATTTTGCTTCCTGAAAGACATATTAGCAGTAGCAATACAACCCAAACAACCAAGTAAAGAAAAGGCTTTGAAACAAGTGAAGAAAAGGTTTTGAAATCTCAGCACTCTGTTCTGCAGTTCTGACTCCTTAGTCAAGAAGGTAATCCCAGCTTTATAGCACCGTAATCCTGGCCTTACAGTATCATAATCCTAGCTTTATAGCATTGGGGATAGGCTTCAGTTTCTGTACCTGGAATCCCATTTTCTATTCCCTGTGAGCACTGTCGAAGTTTGGGAGCTGATGCTGTTTTACAGCAAGCTGCAGGTCTCTCTGGGACCAACCTTATTTGTGTGGAGGGAATTGTGCCATGGGGGACCTTGTTTACTTGCTTCTGTAATTGTTTTTTAACAGCCCAGAAAAACATGCTGATAAAATTCTGCAAGGCAAGAGCAGCTTCAGAACTGTTAGAACTGCCTAAGGTTTTACTGAACACAACTCATCCAACTGCCTTTGATAAGATCTCTACTAACATAGGCAGATGTTCTAATCCCATTCATTGCACTGTGCAAACACAGCCTGTATTTGCAACGTAACTGTGGGAGACTCCTAAGTTAGGCCTTTTTTTCTGGACAGGATTGTTTGTTGCAGATGGTATCCACAGGGGCTGAACCCCCAGCACAAGAGATTCAAGAATCATCACAGAATCACAGCGTAATTGAGGTTGGAAGGGACCTCTAGATATCACCCGGTCCAACCCCTCTGCTCCAGCAGGGACACCCAGAGCACGGGGCACAGGGCGGCATCCAGGTGGGTTTGGAGACCTCCAGAGAAGGAGACTCCACAACCTCCCTGGGCAGCCTGTTCCAGGGCTCTGGCACCCTCACAGGAAAGAAGTTCTTCCTCACATGGAGATGGAACCTCCTGTGTTGCAATTTGTACCTGTTACCCCTTGTCCTATCACTGGCCACCACTGAGACTGGGCTCAGTTTTGGTGGAGGCTGGAGGACACTTTGCAGCTGGGGGTCTGGCTTCTGAAGGCAGCTGCGTTCACCCCACCAGGTTGCAGCAGCTCCCGGAGCTGGAAAGTGCAGCTCAGAGGTGCTCGAGGTGCCCATGGCCCTGGGCAGGCAGCACAGCCTGGGGCCACAGCAAAGGTGAGCACCGCGCTGCATCCCGAGCTCCTGTGCGTCCCATGAGGAGCGTGGGCATCGAGGGGACATGTGCCTGGAGATGGATGGGGCATTGAGCAGAGCCCTGGATGCCCACTGCACACGGGAGCCACTTGAACGCATTCCTGTCTCTCAGATGAACTGCTGCTGTGTGAGAACACGTGGTTATTTCACACCAAGATCCTGGTCGCCTCTTGATGCTGTGGGGAGCTGCTAGGGGGGATGCAGAAGCCTTTCCCTTGGCCTTCAGCCAGCACCTCCACAGCCTTGAGCTTCACCTGCTGCCACCTGGACTCCTGCGGCCCTCCTTGGCCTTGTTTTTGTAGCAACAGCCTAAAAAACGCGTCCCTCCTGTATACTCGGACACCACCATTTCTCCTCTTTGATCTTTCCCCAGAAGGCTAGGAGGTCCTTGATATAAGCCCAGCTTAGATGCAGGCGAAACAAGTCTGACAGAAGAGCTGGATTAAAAACTGCAGTGGGTGTGACAACTCCTTGGGAGCAGGAGCGTGCAGAGATGCACAGGATGCCTCTTCACCAGCACCCAGCAAGGAGAGGCCACCTGGTCACTGCTGTCCGTGGGCACCGAGGCCCACACGGGTACACAGAGCTGTTGCCTGGGGTAGGATGCACAGCAGCGTGAGCAAGTACAGGGAGGGCTGCCCACTTCCCCAAGGACGGGCACTTCTTCGAAACCATCCATCCCCATGTGAAATTATTCCAGAGGGCAAATGGAACGAAACCTCCAAAATCACTGAGGGTTCAGATTCAGGTATCTCAGTAGTAGTAAGACTGATGTTGGAGGGTCTGTACACATAAATATGCAGCAAAGCAGGAAACTCCCCACTGCCATCAAAGCTCTGCCCTGATGACAACAGCTGAGAGCTGGTGGTGTTAAGAGTTGACTGGCAGGAAGATACTTGGAACTGCAAGGAGAAAAACAAGAAGGAAAAGTGGCCTGTTTTTGCATTTAATTCCTCCCAAGTCCAGAGGAGCAGGATTTTATGCCATCTTTATAAATTAGCCACATAACAGCTACAGAATTGAGTCCGTCATCTGTTTCATCCCTTGGTGGGAAGAACCTGCAGGTCAACTATGGTCAACGCCTTTATATTTTAAAGCGTGAACATGCCAGACATGTTAGTTAACCGTTCAAGACGATGCTGAGAAGCCTTTTGTCCTGATTCACTTTATTCCTAGCTCGGTGCCGTCGCGCTCTCTCCTCGTAGGCACAGGGCTGGGCAGACCTTTAATTTCAGAGTCTGCCGTGGGGCACTGGAGTTTCCCACCCAGGGACCCCGCAGGCCCATTGGGCTGATGCTCCCTTCTCAGTTCCCAAGATTTTTCCACTGCCAGAGGCTCCCAATTCTCTTCCCGTGGCTCTCCCTCTTTCCAAAGCACACAGCTCCTAAGCTCCTCTACACTTCTTGCAAACACTGGAACTGATGGAGGCCTTTAAACAAGTGAGGGTTCCTGGACCTTCCTCCACGAGCTCCAGGCACGTGGCATGGTGCTCTCCTGTGGTGGGTATTAAGTCTGGCATAAAGGCCATTAGAACAGCCATAGAAAAGAGCTAAAAAAGAGCTAAAATGTCATGTTGTTCCACTCGGTGACACAACCCAAGCCTCGTGCCCAGCAGTCACCACAACGGCCCTGCCTTCAGCCTCTGCCCATCAGTCTTGAGTAAAACACAACCGTGGATACGTTTCCACAGGAGACGTTTCCTGTATCTTCTGCCGCTTCCAGACCATGGAGAATTAAATGTTGGCATCAGTTACATTAGAAAAAGAAAACCTGAATTGCATGTAGTAGAAACGTAGAGCAAGGAAACTGTTATTTGTAATTTATCTGGATATAAAAGCCATTCTTTTCTTTCCAGCTATCTAGAGGCAGACTGGTTTATTTAAAAATAAATCCCACAAATTCCCTCATGTAGCTTTTGCTAAAAAGCACTCTCTAACAAAAATGTGGGGAAAAAGGGTGAACTAGCTCCTCCATATTTCAGTTTTGCTGCTTTAATTCCATGTTGCACACAAAGCACCAGCCAAACAAGCAAAATAACTAAGGAATATACTGAGTTTCTATGCATGCAAAATCCTTAACTTTTTTGATCAATCAGAACTTTGGTTTCATTTTGGTTTAGGCTTTTATTTTACAGTGCAATGCAAAAAAATATAAAACACTTTGCGAGAATATAAAAGCTTTATTTTTTCAGCATAATTTCCACTGTTTTTCTCCCAGAAATATCTTTTAGCAAACATGATTGTAAAAAGCACTTTCTTCACTAGAGTTCTAGTCTCTGATAAAAATGATAAAGACTTCATTTTTTAAGAAGAAATTGTCACGTTTTTCTGTAATTTGAACCTTTAAATATTTATAGCTATATTTACATTATCTTATTTTGTACAAAAAGGGAATTGTGGTTGTACAATAATTCCCAGTTTAAGTGGGGGTTTAAGTTAAACCACCTAACTCTGGTCCAGCCTAGGCTGAAGGTTCAAGACAGAAGTATCCAAATACATGAGAAAAGGTGTAAGATTTCTGAAATAAATAAGGGAAAGAAAGCTTGAGTGAAATGACAAGTGTGCAAAAGCAGCACTGCAGAGATGTCAACAAGTGGAAGTTTGCCCATGACATCTCACACAAAAAGAACTGGAAGAAACGATCAGTCAGCAGGTATAAAGTGAGAAAAGAAAGCTCTTCCACAGAAAGAATAATCAAAGTAAGATCACTGTGAAAAGGCACTGTGGATTTATGGACGATAAACAGGTTAAAGTGGATTAAACAGATTCAGAGAGGGTAGGTTTGAAGAGTGGCCACTAAACACTGTGGTCTGAAGGCCACATCTGGTCAAGCGTTCCCTAAATCCAGCGCCGTGGAAGCTGGAGGACATGCCAATAAAAACTGATTTCCCTCTCACACTCTTCCCAAAGCCCTTGGGACTGGCTGCTGTTAGAGGCAGCAGCTTTGAACACTCAGCCAAATCACCTAGATTTCTAATTCTATACACAGCAGTACGGCTACACACTCCCACATACCCAAGTCTGGGTACACACACCTAACTGCACATACGGGAACCGAGACAGACATTCAGGCTGGCTTCAAAAGTCTGGAAATTAAGTGGTAAGATTCTCACAACAGAGTTTTCTGAGGCATCTTCCTCAAAAAGATACCGTGCTAGATACTTCTTCTTAAATATGCATTCTTATTAATAATCTGTTCAATCTAAGCTATAAAGCATGTTGTGCAACATGACTGAACGAATATTGCTGTGAGAAACATTTTCCCCTTGTTCAAGTAATTTAAATTTGTAAGTTAATGTACGTTTTTGTATTATATAATGTACTGTGTGCAATTTTCTTTCTTGTAAAGCACTTTGAAGCTTTCAAAGGGCACTCTAGGTTAATAAATAATATGCTCTCCCTTGCCAGAACTGTAGGGCATTTCCCATAAGTTCTGCATCTCCTTTGCCAGAGTTGCAACATGTTGCATGCCAAATCCTGCACACAAATGTTCTCCATGTGGCAAACAGGTATCGGGAAAGACCAGGCGCATGACATTCCTGGATTCCTAGGAAGCGCGGGAGAAGGGAAAGAAGTAGGAGGGAATAATGAGGGAGGGCAGGGAAGAAATTTATGTTTGTGTCTATGTCTTAGAAAAACCCAACCTTCTTCATTTTCAAAGGGTAAGGCTAGGCTGTTTACTGCACGCAGAACAAACTCACGGGTACACAGGGTTGGGCCTTTTGTTTGCCTTCAGTTATGGAAGCCAGGGCTCCACTTCTGTGGTGGCTTTAGCTTCTTCAAAGCCAGATGTTCGTAGGGGTGAGACCACCTGCAATCCCCGCTTCTCCGGGCACACGGGCACGGGAGCAGCCAGACCTGGAGAAGTCCGGTCTGCTCAGGACTGCTGTGGCTGCACTGTGAAAATGACTCCTCCAGGCAAAGCTGCACATGCATTTCACACACCCCAGGCTACACAGAACAAACCAAGCCCAATATTTATGAAGAGTCAACACTTGTCTTTTTGCAGTCTCCCACACGGACCACTAGGTTCCTATTTCTGTAGCTTGGAAGAGGAGGAGTGAAAAGCATTACGGCCTAGAAATCAAGCCGGTACATTTGGCTGCATACCACGTAGGTTATGTTACTCAAGGATATTAGGAGTTTAAAATGACTTTGTTTTTAATTTTCTCGATTTAATCTCTTTATACACTAACCACAAACAAATCATTTCAACATTCCTCACTAGTTTAGACTGAACTTCTATGGTAATTCAATCATTTTAAGCTTTCTGCCCTTCACTAAACTTTAAGTAAATGGTCACAAAATGTCTTCATCAACCAGAGACAACTAACCAGTTCAAAAGGCACTAATGCTGCGTAAAGCACTGAGATTGCCATTGTTTTAAAAACAAAGAAGCTAAAACTGAACTCCACATTCTGCAATAGTAAATGATCGCTTTACTACGTGCTTTCTTTTGATATCACAAGAAATGATTGAGAAGGCCTTGCTGTTGCCAGAATCAGATTGCTTAGAAAAGAATATCCTGTGCGTTACCATTTGCTGCCATGATTTACAAAGGTAAGGCCTATAGTCTGCATCTGTTTCATGCTGAGGTCTGGGAGAAAAAGAGCTTTCTGCAGAGTTTGTGGATTTCTGCATGATGGTTTGGGTTGTTGCAAACAGGGCTAGGTGATACTCTCGTAGGAGCTTTTCAAGAATTTCGGCACATTTCTTCAGATTCATCTCCTGCAAGTTCAAACTCTCCCCTCCGTTGCTTCTGTCTATCCAGTAAAAAGCTGAGATGCTGTCCAAAACCAGGAGGCAGAGAGAGGGGTGAGTGCAAAACATGTTTTCTAAAGAGTAAAGAGTGAGGAGTAACTGGGTGCTGCTACTGCAGTTAACAAGGAAAAGCCTCCCCAGGCACCGTTTGATCGTTTCTTCCGTGCTCTGCGCCAGTCTGTGCTCAAGAACGGTGACCAGACGGAGCATATCGAAATGATAGTCTGTATCGATGAACATGACTCCCACTTCCAGCCCTCCTCCGGACCTCGGAAGGATGCAGCGGGCTACGAGGTGATAAAGCATTTCTGTCTTTCCCGTTCCTTCTGCACCGTGGAATTCAATGACATCTCCTGTTGCAAAAACAAAGGAGCAAACAGTGAGGTGGGAGCACCTATAGCAGAGAGAGGATTATCAGTGTTCCCTGGGAGGTGCAAGTGCTCGTTGCTTCTGAAAGCTACGCTTGAAAACGATTTTGAGATCCCACAATGTCCAGCTCTAGTTCCAGTTAAACTGGATTACTGCATTTTCATTATAATCACTAACAGAGGACAACTTGCCCACATTTAGTTTTGGGAGTCCTTAAAATTTGTGGTGCTTTTGCAAATAGAACAGAAGTGGAATTCTCCTTCCTCCTTGTCCTTTCTAATACAGTCCTGTCCAAGCAGGGATCACGAAACACAAGCTCAGCTGTTTTGATGATAACCAGTCACAATCGCACTTGTTTTATTGAAGCGTTGATGCTAACTGGAAAATGCTAACTGGAAAATGCCATAAAAATGTTTAAATCCTGGTTAGCATCTACCAAGAGAAATTTCAATTTTCAAGAACGGCCTCTAAAGTGAAGAAACTCGACTTGTGAACCTAGCTTAAAAAAGAGAGTGTCGAAGACATCAGTAGCAATACAAGTTTGGCGACTGGGTTATATGACTATCATTCCCGGAGGGGCTGAAGAGGAAGCTGCTACACAAAGGACTGGCTAAGACACCACACATCTACACTGCAGACACAGAAAGAATAAATAAAGGAGGAGGAGACAGAAGGGGGAAAGAAAAAAGATATGTTGCATGTACAAATCATGGCTACATATCTATTTTTAAAGCACAGATTGGCCTTTAGCTGCTATGTGCATGGCTGCTATGTGCTTGTTCAGTAGCTGTGCACGTCACAAGACACCAGCAGGAGTCTGTGACCAGTAAAGAGAATGTCAGTATATTTATTTAGCACTTATATTCTATGATGATTGCAATACAAAGTTGCTTCTTTTGACTAGGAGGAAATCACACATGACTTTAACTCCAATCAACCATTCTGCCATCTGAAATAGAGGTTCTCTTCTCCTAAATGGACTCAGCTTAACTGCTTGATCATTATGTGTCAATAAAATATATATTACATATACTTAAAACATTAATAAAATCATAATCTATTTCTAAGGAACTGGTTATTTTCTCAGATGTAAATATAAGATGATATGAAGTCTTTTCCTTGGCTTTCTGTCTTAGAGCAGTACCTTAAGAAAAGGTATTATTTGCTCTTTATAAATCTATAATTTAGGAAAATGGATTACTTATTTAGGACATTTTGGATTTTATGCCGAAGGGTAAAGGCACCTGCAGTGAGGGGAACACTTCGATTCTCTCCAGCTGAAGGAAATTTACCCAACTGCAATTGTAGGAAGCTGATAGACTTCTGTGGCCTCGGTAAGTGTAAATGGCTTAACAGCTTTCGACAGGAGGGATGCAGGAACAGATCATTAATTGTAACTTTACTAAAACAAGTTTGTGCCTGCCTGAGTTAACAAGGTTTTTCAAGTCATTACCCAACTTCCAGAGGATGTTGTTTGTTCACAGGTGAATATAATGTCCAGAAGCAGCTTGGGATGAGGGGCAATGGGAAAAAGACTATGCTCTCTTCACACGCTGCAAGCCTCAGAAGCAATCTGCACTCAGGGTAGCCACTCCATCCATTTCAGCGGCACAGCAACCACTTGCCTCTCTGCAATGAAGATCATCACTTCTCCAAAACTGCAGTCTTCTTTTCCTGAACATTGATACCTCAAAATTTATATTTAAAAACCACCATCACAACAAAAACACTTCATTGCCTCCAAAACCTTCGTGGGTCTGGGCTGAATGGCCTTTCCCCACTTTTGAGGTGACAGATGATTGCCCCTCTATCACCTCTATTGCACAGGCCCTCCCCTTCCCCTTGTGCTCAGAGGTGGCAATACCCAAGGAGCAGAGCTCCCTCCTGTCACACACATGGGGCTGCCCATCCAACAGAGCCCAGCTGGGATGTGACCCCAGCTTGGTAAGTCCTCTCAGAGGACACGGTGTGTGTCCTGACAGCCACTGGCTTCTAGGCACAACTTTTCCACCTTGACTGTTTTTTTTTAATCCAGATCCATGACTTGATTGGGCAAAAGTGCCAGGGCAAAAGGACCAGGACCAAAACAAAAGGATTGGCTACATTTATAGCAGAATATGACTTGTTAAAAATAGCCTAGCAACTCTATGCCTATTCACTAGCAGCAGCAGCCAGATCTTAGTCCGATTTCTAAAACTAAAGAAGAAACTAAGAAAAAACTAAATTAAGCAAAAATTGTTCTGCGAAGTGTGCACTTGACTTCATCATTTTAAAATATGTTTTATCAGAAAGTTTTGTGTTACCTCCTGTAAAACTTTATATAAAAGAGCTGTAAGTCCTAGAACACAGAAGGAGTTTTTATTGTCAGAATTAGCATGAATTAAGCAAAAATGATAAACTGAATAAAAACCAAAAATCATTCTTAAAGAATTTCTGTGGTGGTGGTTTGTAAATTTTAGCAGCAAAACAGCTAAGTAGTTTTCAGAGTTTGCTCAGCACTGTTGATCAAGATACCCATCCGGGTTGCAGTGTGACCACGTTAGGCTGACACTCCGAGGAGAGGAACAGTTTGGACAGTAAGAAAACCTCAAGGGAGCAGGGGGTTCTGTGCCTTAGTGATTACCAAAGAGGCTGCCCGCAAGAAGAAGCGGTGCAAGAAAAACAAGAAGCCATTTATAGCAACATCTATAAATGTAAGGTTTAACTTAATTAGGACCCAGGCTGTTGCAGCAAGATAAAGAGGGGAAATTCGTCCTTTTGGATGAGAGCAGACAAAACATGACACAGCAGAGGAAGAAATGTGGCTAATGGTGCTGTCAAAGAGCCTTTGACAGGCAAGGGATCATGGAGGAAACCAAGGCATCAGAACTAGCATTGCTCTACTCATATATTTCCATCTGGAAGTGTTAAAGCACTTTAAAAGAAGCAAAAGTAAAGAGAGTAAAGAGTAAAGTAAGTAAAGGGATATTGTCACAGGACGTAAACAGTCTGGGAGTCAGAATGGGAATGGTCACTTTAACACGGAAGAAAGCTAAAGGGGAACTTTATACTATGCATTGGTGTTGCCTGACATGAATAATACCAACAGGCTTGGCAAAAGATGTAGGAGACAAACGAACTTGGGTAACAGAGACTCATCAGAACAAGGTGGAGAAGTAGAACAATTTCAGATGAAATTCAGCACTGGCAAAATTCAAGAACGCTTTAAGGAACAACTGGGCTAAGGCAGTTCAGTACTTGGCTCAAAGCAACTTCAACTGCACACAAAACCGAGCCCACCCACTGTGGGCAGGCTTAAGAGAACAATAGGGTAAACTAAATAATGCTGAATAAACTTCAATATTAATAAATATATTTTAAACTGAAACAGTGTGCTCAGTCTTGATAATAAATTCAGTGTCATTTTTGAAGTAGTGGAGCCTAAGTTATGCCAGTAATCATTACACTAGCAAATGTTAGTAGAATTACTTTCTGACACTGCAGTTAAAAACTGGCTATTAGAGTACTTGGCAAGAGCTTTGTGGGTGTCACACCATCACATACCTTGAAGTTACCAGGCTAGTAATTTACTATATTGTGGAGAAGTTGTCACTAATATTCCTACCATTCAGAAGTGGGGTAGAAGGGCAAAGTGTTTATTCCAAGCTAATTTGGGGTGTCGCACTCCAGCTGAACATCAGAGCTTAGTACTGACACCCACGCCTTCATACCAGTGGCATAAGGAGAAACATGACTGGCAATAGTGGAAGATTATTAAAAGCTCGTGTCATTTTTGTTCTGTTCCAGAAGAGCTTAAATGCTGTATAATTAATATGCTTATGTGTTCTTAAACATACAGTTCCATACTAATTAGAAGCACTGACTGGAATGTCACGGCAGTACTTACATTAGCTGTGCCTATTTTATGGACAAGAAGAAAACTTCTGACATACACACTATGATGTAACTATGATGTACAGTTTATTGAACCTTTATATATATGTTGCTTTGTTTGAAACACTGCCAGGAAGAATAATTTAAGTTATTGCATTGTTTTAATCCTACACCATTTTACAATAAACAGCTGTTTATTACGGACTTCATGGACAACACAACATGTCAGAGCAACCTAGTAAAAATCAAGTTCATGGCAAATGCAAGGGCCCATCTGCAATAGGGATTTAAGACTGAATAACAAGAAAAAAAAAAAGTCAAAATAACATGTGGCCTCACACAAATAGATGCAGTGTCTATGGCCAAAAACTAACCTGTGGTATTAAAGACAATGCAAAAATTGAAGAAAAGGTGAAGCCCACTTAAACATATACACTTAAAAATCAGTGCTAATATCTTTTGCAGCTCCATTAGTGCCATCCAAAAAGCATGAGCAATTCAGATAATGATTAGTACTCTTTGCTAAAAGCCAAAGAAAACCCAAGAGCTTTGAAAGCTTAATAATAACGTTGGCACAGTGAGGAACTAGCAATGACTTAAAAGGTCCTCCAGCCATCTCAGAATGGAAGTTCTGGAACCTCAATTCTGGAACCTCTGTCACTGCGCAGAAACAAGGCCAGATGATGGAAGTTGGTAACTTTATGAATGGAATTATATAATTCCAGCAACTGTGACAGCAAGGGCTATCCTTGGCTACCAGGAAGGCTTCTTACAGTCTGTCCTAGGAGGATATGCCCAGTTCAGTCTCAACTGTTTGTTTCTTGCATGTAAAGCTCCAAAAAACAAACATACACTGCTGCTTCCTAATTTTTGTGAGGAAACAAAACAGTTCTGAATTGAGAGTAGTTAAACATCCTACTCTGCCCTGCTCACACTATCTTGCCAATATTTTGCTGACCTTTAACTTAGTTACATCATATTTATAATGTCTGCGGGCAGGAATTGTACATTGCTAAAGCCCTAATGTATTCCCAAGTGCTGCAAATACACATGAATGGCTCATAATGGCTACATTTTTAGACTAAGCATCATCTCTACACCCAATTATCACGATTTTTTCTGGTGTTTCTTCTGATCCTCCTATAATTAGTGGAAATTTAAATTGCAGACAAATATGTTGATAATCACGTCAGCCACATACTTTTCACACAAAAACTATTCATATATACGTACAGATATATTTTTCAACAACTGTGGTATCTCACAACTTGATACTTTAAGTTTGCCGTTCATGCATCTTTTTACCATATATTTCTAGGTCTATGTACACATGTACAGCAGTCTCTTCGATGGTGAAATCCATGGAACTTCAAACAAAATTCAAATGAAAAAGTCTGCCTTCTTGAATAATCAAGAAATTACTGAGTTATTTCCTGTTTAAGCTCAGTAATTTCTTTCATTAAAGCATTCAATTCTAATTTAAAAACTTCCAGTAATAAGAGGATCTACCTTACTGCACCACTGGCAAGCAGAGGTGGCCCAATTCTTCTACATTCACTTGAAATTTTTATTTATTCTGTTAAGGAATATGACATTTTGATCATAACATCCTCCATGAAGTCATTCGGCTGATTGATATTTATGTTCATTACAGAATTGTTTCCACAGTTTCATCACCTAAATATAATCCCCATTTGTGGGGCCAAGCGGTAAGGCTTGACGACTTGGATTTAAAAAAAAAAAAAGAAAGAAAAAAACAACCCAACTGTTTCCTCTTGCCCATTTTACTGGCTGATCCAGATCATTTCATATCACTGAGCTCTTTGATATTTACTGAATCTCAAATTTTATGCAAATTTTTACAATGATGATTTTTTGAGTTTAGGCCACTGATAGAAAGCTTACATGAGAGAACCAGGATGAACTTCTGTGAAATGCTACTAGAAATCTACCTAAGTGTTTGGTATTTTCCCATCTACACTTTTTTGATACTTGTGAATTAGATATTTTAAATCCATTTGTTAACATTCACATGTTGATTCTGTATTATTCTATCTAGTTTGCCTAAAACACAAGTGAATTACATCAACACTTAAAATTCTGAATCCAAGGCAAACAAAAGCTCTATTCATATTCTCAGGGCAATATGATGGAGATAAGCATAGTTTTAAACTGACATTTTTCCATAAATAAGATAAAGATACATTTTTACCATGAACAGGAAATCCTTCCTCAGCAAACAGATATGGTTCAAGATTTTTCAGAGAACTTCTGCCCTCAAGTCGTGCAAGCAGCTTTTAAAGAAAAAAAAAAAAGAACAGACATAATGTTAGCCAAAAATAATGGAGCTTGGGAATCAGACACATGAAGAACCAGAGAATTGGAGGTTTTCAGTGACAGGTCTGCCAAAATATTGGTTTGATTTTAAAATGCCTTCATAAATATGTACACAAGCCTATAGTCTGGAATATATGAACACAATGAACACAAGTTTTACCTTACAAGAAGTTATCATACAGATTCTAGTGCAATAAGGAGCTGATACCTTCAGGGAAAATAAAGTTAAAAAAAGAAAAATAAAAGGTACTGATAGAGTAGCAGGAGGGAATGCCTCTGATATGCAGCAGTTCTGCCATTTTACAGAACAAAGGGGAAGAAAATCATCTGTAATAGCCACGATTGCTACAACATGCTGCTGGTTGAGAGGTGGTAGGCTGTATTACCCATTATTACTCTCCTGAGTCAGTCTCAGCTCATTTACAAGTGAAAATATGTGTGTGTGTATATATATATGTCTATGGCCTTCCAGTCCTATTATATCAGAGTTATTTGTTTAAATATAGCATGCATTAAGAGTAGTTAACATACCGAAGGTCTCCAAGATTTTTGTAAAGCAAGTTCATATATGTAAAGCAAGTAAGCATTTGTAAACCACGTTATCCAAAAACCCATCGCAAAGTAGATCTATTTTAAAACAGGTTAGTCCAAGGTTCTTGGACAGTTTTTTAAACTGACAGGTATTTGCGTAACACGTAGACAGGCATTCCCTCAGTCTGTGTTATCTGCAGTTCTGGCATCAATTCATAACCCAAGAATTAACACCTTACAGCACTGCTGGAGATCCTATTCCGCACATACATTAAAACACATGGGAACAGACCCTAATCAGGATGCTCAAAGCCCTGCCATAATGTGTAACCTGCTACCAAATATTCCCATCTCCAAGACACCCCGTTGTCATTTAAAGATTTAAAACGAACAAAATAACCCCGTTCATCTTTCTCTCACTCTCCTTACAGCCCATCATCAATGAGCAGTGAGCACAGCTCTCTGAGCGTGCGCAGCCTTATCTTGCTTTCCTCCCTGCCACATTGATGGGCACCGTTTGCTCGGCATTCTTAAAAGTTGTTTGAACAGTTGTGCGTTTGCCCTTAACAGCCAAATAAACTCCATTAAATGACCCTGAATTTACTTCAAGTGGTCATGACGTGAATCCAAATGTGTCGTTTTCATTGACATTTTAACATTTCCTTCCATTAACAAAACGTCAATGTGTTTGCCTTTGCCTGTTCAGATACACAAGAGTTTTGCGACGCATGCACTGAAGGATCATCAAAACGCTTGAGCTGACCTTGCTCTGGACCTGTGGAGCCTCCTGCCATGCTTCATACATTTGGGCAATGTATAAAGCACACAGTGAGCTCTTGTTTTGGGGAAAAGTAGAACACCGTGATCTGGACAAAGCAAAAAAAAAAAAAAAAACAGATGTATGTATGCAGATAAAAATACAGTGATATATCGCATTTTGGGGCGCATTTGCTGGCAGCCTGCACCAAGCAAGGGCTCTGCCAAGGGTGCACCAGGAAGAAAACGCAAGGCCACCACAGAGGAGAGGCTCTCCCTGTGCCCATGGCCAGAAGGGCTGGCAATCTCTCACTGCTCATCAGGCTGTGGAATCGGGTGGAACAGGAAAACCGCCCCAGGCTGCTGGCTCCTGATGCGCTGCGTTCCTCAGCAATCGGAAGCACCGCTCAGCGACTGCAGCAGCGCGGCCAGAGGCACCACCGGGGCCGTCTGGAAATACCCCACGCCAAGACAAGGTTGCAGGACAGCAACCCAAGCCTTGCACCCTCCTGCCCCCTAATTTCACATTAGCAAGTACATTCTCTATGGAACTTGCTTTATGGAAAACGGAGAGCCTTTGCCTCCTTAGTTACAACCCTTACAATTTACTGCCAGATCTCTGAATCACTGGATTGATCCTTTTAGTTTAAATATGAATCTGTGGTTCCTTAAGTGACAATTTATACATTCACTGTAAATAACTACAGGTGATCACCCCCGGTAGCGCTCGCGTAGGTAAACGTATGGTAATTTGCTGATGATAACACACCTGTGTTTTTATCAAACTTGTATTTACTTCTGAGCTCTGAAGCAGAGGCTCCAAAGGCACTTGCCTCATTACTGTCCCGCTGTGAACAACAGGGTTTCCTGGCAGGAACAGCTCCTGGCATTGCCACCAAACCAAACCTCACTGAACAGAACTGCATCCAGGTAGGATGAGAGGCAGGAATTCTCCAGCTCAAGAGACATTAAAGTTAGTGACAATATGAGTTTTTCAAGGAAGCAAAAGTCATCTAGTATCTTGGCTCTGTTGCAGGCATTTCTCTTTAACTTTTTCATTCCTCTACAAGAGGGACAAGGGAAAAATCTATGGCAACTAGTCTCAATGGTGGAAATCGGATGCCGCTTGCTTTGGTGTGGAAAGCTCACAGGACACAAATGTGGCACTACCAGAAAAAGCCTTCAAATGGGAGGAACTTGGGAAAAATACAATTCCAAATCACATATTAGAGATTTGATTCTGTTATTTAACTGCAGGTGCTCTTAGCTCATAATGCTCTCTTTTTCTACGGAAAAGACTGGCTTGTAGCAACCTACCTCTTAGGAGGTCTCCACTCCTACTATGTGTTCTTGAAAAGTCCAATTACATCACCAAAAATCTTGTACACTTAGGTGGACAGTCACATGCAACAAGCAAGATATATGGCCTAGGCTGGACAAAAACTGGATTAAGCTTTGTTAATGACGAGGCTGACAACATCCAAAAATATTTCAACGTCTTTTATAATTTATCAATTCCATCTTTTTAATAAAGAATTATGCATACAGGCAGCCCATTGACTAATGTATGACATGTATACATATTGGTTTCAACAGAGCTATGCAAAAGTGTAGGCACCCATGTAGGTCTTCTCAGAAGTGAGGTATTACTTCATTAAAATGGTAAAGGCATTCAAATTACATCCTGGAGCTATGTGCGAGGCTGTGAGCTAACCTACGGGCTATTTACAAATATAAACATATCTCAAGCATGAGACAAAACTTAATTTTCAACCACTCTAACCACTCAGACTGCGCTTCTGTAAACCTTGGGCACGAAGACATACGCGAGCAATTCATCATCTGTTTCACTGTGACGTACCCAAGGTGATTTGGGAGAAGTCCTCATTTGTTGCGTTAATTAGGCTGAAGAATAGAGGTACACGACTGCGGTCTGTGCACAACTCCTACCAACACCAGGTCTTCTGTGTGGTCATTAGAGGGAAATACACTTCCAGGGAAATAGGCCTCCTGTTTCAAGAGCTTTCACATCCTGTGCTGTATTAATATATGTTACTTATTCTTTCTCCTGCCAGCCTGTATCAGTCCTTCCATCGCTTGGGGATCCATCACTGCCGCTGGATTCATGCCCTGGATCAGTATTATTGTTACTGAAGTATCAAAAGGGCTTTAAAAGATGGAATTTTAACAAGTAAACGTTGATTTATATGGCACTGTTCCAGCATATTCTGGTACAGCAACAAATGTCAAAGTGATTTAACAACAAAAGCAGCCAACAGGTAAACCACGAAGGCAGCATAAGAGCAAATGTAAAAACAAGTAAGACCCTCTCCAATCCCTTTTTCTAAAGGAGAACAGGCAGTTTTAAGCCTCATACTATTTACTTGAAGCACTAGTACTCTGCATCCCTTAGACCTTTTCCCTCAACGCTCGAACGAGCACAGCGCGAACGGAGGGGACGCCGCAGGGCGCCGCCCGCTGTCCCGGGTGGCCGGGGCCGCTCTGCGGAGCCTCCCCGTGCCGCGGGGCCTCCCCCGGGCCGCGTCGCTCCGCGGCCGCCTCAGCGCCGCCCCC